CCCCCCCTCCATTTTAGTTGGCTACCATATATATCCCTGGGTTTAGTCTGGCCCCTGCCTTATTACCTGGACCTCACCCCAAGAATATATGCGGTAGCTTCTTTCCTATGCCCCTTTTGGATTTTTTGAGCTTACCTCAGCAGACTCATGTTGTACTTGTCCTTTTGTGCTTGGCTTACTTTGCCTAGCATAATTGCCTCCAGTTCTTCTCTTGGGACCATGTGCTTCATGTGTTCATCACTGCTTGTAGGGTTGCATAGTACTCCATTGTATGTATGTACCACAGTTTTTTAATCCATTCATCTGTTGATGGAAATTTGGGTTGTTTCCAACTCCTTGCAATTGTGGACTGCACCGCAATGAACATTGGAGCACAGATGCCTAGCCATGGTTTGTTTCTTGTCTCTTCTAGGTATATGTCCAGTAGGGGGATAGCTGGATCGTATGGTAGCTCAATTTCCATCTGTTTTAGATATCGGCAAATCAGTTTCCATAGTGGCTGTACATACCTACAGGTCCACCAGCAGTGGATGAGAGTTCCTATCTCATCACAGCCCCTCCAACACTTGCTACTTTCTGATTTTTTGAATTGGGCTTTCTTTGAGGGTGTTCAGTGGTGTCTGATAATTGTTTTAATTTGCATTTCTCTTATGGGTAGGGATCTGGAATGTTTCTCATAAGTTTATTGGCCATTTGGATTTCTGCCCTTGAGAAACTTCTATTCAGGTCCTTTGCTCACCTCCTCAGTGGAAGTTGGTTTTTTTCCCTTATTGTAAGTTAGCAGAGTATTGTAGATTTTAGTAATAAGCCCTTTGTCTAATGTGTCATTGCTAAAGATGTTTTCCCAGTCTATGGTCTCTCTTATTACTCCCTTGGCAAATTTTTTTGATGTATACAGTGTTTTATCTTTAGTATATCCTACTTGTCAATTTGTGCCTCCTCTCTGTTTGTGTCCTTCCCTATTTCTGATAGCCTATGTATTCCCTGAGTCAAATTCTCAAATTTGTTTCAATTCCTTCATTGATAGTCCTAATAGTTTGGGGTTTTAACTCTAGGTCTGTGATCCGCCTTGAGTTTATTCTTGTGCATGGAGCGAAGTAAGGGTCTTGCTTCATTTTTCTGCAGATATGTATCCATTTTTTCAAGCACCACCTATTGAAGAGGGCATCCGCTTCCCATCTGATATTTTGGAGGCCCTTATTGAAGATCAGTTGTCTGTGTGCTTTTTCGTTAATGCTTCCTTCATGTCCTGTATGACTATAAGCAGCATTCTGAAGATTTCTTTCTGTGGGAGGTCAACATCCACCTTTTCTATGACTGCAGTTAGTTCCAGTGGTCCTCTGACATTGGATTTTGTTTCTCTTTTCTTGTTGACGCTGTAGAAGTAGCTTGTTGTGTTTTGGTCAACTTGGAACTAGGTGCCATTTTCCCGGGTGTCTTAGAGCCCTGGGCTTTATCTTTGGGAGGTTGATGTTGGTGTTTCTGTAGGATGCCTCTAGCCAACTCCCTTGTGGGGTTATTTTTCACCTTTTTCTTGCTCTTTCCCTCTTGCCTTGGCCTATGTTTTGTGCTCCAGGCACCCTCAGGTCTCTTTAGTGGCTGTTTGCAGCTGTGCATGCTGCGGTCTAATGGAAAGTGTTGGCCCAAGCATAGTGGAGCATATTTCGCAATGGGTTGGGGATTGGGTGATCTTTTCCAGGCTAGGGGCACTTATCACAGGTAGGCGGTGGGAGGGAGGGTCCGCTACTTTTGTTAGTATGCAGATCCACTGCTAGAGCACAGTCGGGGTGGGAGGAAGATTGAGTAGGAAAAAGGGAGAATGCAGTAGGAAAGCCCCAAAGGCTTGGGTTCCTATGCTGCAGCTGCAGAAGCTTCTGCCAGACTTGTATCCGACACCTGACAGGCTTGGAGCATCACAGCAGGCTGGAAACCTCTTTGAGTGTGGGGGCGGAGCACGGGGTCTGGTTAGTGGGTCTGTGGGGAGTGCCGAGATGGGGAGGAGACCTCTGGGTGTGGGGGTGTCTGGCTACAGCTCTGGCTAAGCACCGAGGCAGGGCAGAAACCTGTACCATACACCTGGCTGCCCTGTGGCACCGGTTGAGACAGAGCAGGCACACTGAGCACTGTGAAAGAGGCAGCTGGTAGGCCTGAGACCATGGGTGTTTGCAGGGAGTGCAGGTAATGGAGTCGAAGTCAGCATCTGGTTCAAAGAAGTGCTCTGAGCTGTCTTGGGAATTGAAAGACAGACTTGATACCTCTACTTGGCCCCCAGATCTCCCCACTCACTGATCTCCATGGAGATCCAGGTGTGAGCTACTATCTGGTTGCCATCTTGGCCAAGCCTTGAGAAATAGTTTAAACCATTTTAATTACTGTATGTGCCCTCTGGTATGGATGTTAGAGTGATGATCAAAGTGAAGACCTCATATAAATATTAACTGAGAAGACCCATTACTTTACCCACCAGTTCACAATCTGTGTTAGAGAAACAATGTTTTGTTCATTCACTTATTGCACCATAGCTTGTGCATAGCTCCTAAATAAGTACTGTTCTGCAGCAGATACCCAGAAGTTCATAAGAATGTTATTCTATCTTTCAACACTTTCTTCATTCTGTGCTCTACCTGTTCCAATCATCTACCCCCGCAGAAAAGAAATGCTTTAACATAATCACAGAGACCATTCTTACATACTTCTGAACTCAAAGCATGTCAAGGACCTCCCCTGCCAAAAATAAGAGATTACAATATTATTTATTCACATAAAGCATCAAATGAGTCTGTATGGTAGTAAATCTTTGTTGTCTAGTCTTCTGAAGCATTAAAAAGCACATCAAGTACTAAATTAAAGCAAGGATGGTTACATCATTTGATCATCATTTCAAAGAGTGCCATCCTCTGAAATCAAGAAATAAGATCAGTGTTAGTTAGCTTATAATTATATAAATATTATCTGTTATTTTCCTAAGGATAATGAAAAAATACACCTCTTAGCATTTCTCTCTAATCCAAAGACATTAGGTTTATGAACACCCAAAAAGATGACAAAACTGCTCTTTTCCTATACTTGATGTGCTGGTAGTCTGACTACCTTATATTGAGCATGTGGAGAATCCTGGAAGAAGTTGTGTTAGATTAAATTTAGAGAAACAGTCCAAGAATCAACCATCTCATAAACACAACATTTTAATATCTCCTGGTGCATAAAAGACCCCTCCATACTGCACACTCCAGATTTTAATATTTAATATGTGGTGATGACTGTCATTTGCAGATTTTACATGTTGAACAAAACCATTTTTTCTTCTGGCACTATCTAATGAGAGAAATATTTTCACTTCTTAGAATGTACACTGCAGTCCTAGTAGCCTTCAGGATCCTCTGGGAGTCAACTCTGGAAAGAAAATTATTATCTCCAAATCTGAAGATCTCAAACGAGGCACGATTCTGGTAAATTCAGAAAACGCTGATTTTTCTCAGTCTTTCTTGTGAATACCTTCAATATAGACTTAGAAATAGTTATGTTGAATATTTAATATAGTCCATTTGATCAAATAGCAAGAAAACCAATATGTACCTCTGAACATTTAAACAGGACTGCAGTACGTGTAAACTTGCTACAATCACATGCAACTTGATTCCTTCTGATGAGAGCCGTGTGAATGTGTCACTTATCTTATGGAAACCAACCTTTATCAAAGTAAGTGATTGCATTGTTCTATGCAAATACTGCATCAAATCAGAAACTATCCGTACTCTGGTGTATGCAAAGCAGCATGTGTTCAGAAAGAACACAAGACGGGAAAGCAGGATGGTGGGATCCAAGACCCTGCTCTACTCCAGCAGCTATGTGGATACATTTTTCTTATCTTTAGTAAGTTATCTCCAGGGTCTCCTTTACAGATATGTACCTTTACCAGGACTGCTTGTCAGTAATACTGTGTTACAGTATTACTTTGTACTTATACTCTAAGAAACAAATACTGCTTTAGTACCAAAACGTATACTTACCTTCATGGTTTGGAACTCAAGTAAGGTTAGAGGCAGTGAATTTTATAGAGTGCAAATCTTTGACTCCATGAACAAAGGATAGAGCCTGCATATCTTATGGATTTATTGTATTGTACCAGACTCTTATCCCATATATATGAATTAATTGTATTATGTCAGGATTTTATTATATATATAACCCACAGTATATTCAAATCTGTATGGAAATGAGCTCTTTTCAAACTTAGTCCATTGTATTTTGTATTGTTTGTTTTCCTCTTGGGGGAGTATTTAGTTGATCATATGACATTTCCATTTTTAGACTTGATCTTATTAAGTGGCTATTCTGTAAGCCAGGAATTGTTGACTATTAATAATGTGATAAGTCCCAAATAAGTACCTGCACAAATCTCATTACCAGAATGTAACTACCCAAGGAGGCAGGCAAAGAGGTTTTGATGCTTGTTTTTCCCCGAAGGGTAAATCTGAATATGTGGGTTTTTCAGCATATGAGAAGAATGGAAGTAATTTGATACCACTAGTTTTGTCTGGGAAAACTGATAGATTTAATCTCAGAAAAGGTCTAGCTTCAAAAACGGTACTATTCAAGCCTGGCAAGCTGTCATACAGTGGTGGTGGTGGGGGTTCCTACTGTTAAGTGCAGACAAGTCATTTCTGACTCACAGCAACCCTGTGAGCCCTCCGGTCATCTTCACAATCATTGTGAGCCCCGTGTCAGGCCTTGAGGGGTTTTGTGAGTAACATGGCATTCAAAACAAAACAAAACAAAATTTGTTTGCTTTTCAGGCACATTTTTCCAGCTTAAACCTTACTGTTAAGGCGGAACTTCAGAGTGAAAACGCATCGCTGGTTTTAAGTAGTAGCAATAAAAAGAGAGAGGTAAGTGCAATGCTAACTTTTGAAAACATTACACATTTCATTCTGGATGTTTGTGACATAAGGTTTTATAATTGCTTATAGATCCTAAAGTGACTAGGCCAACTCTCAATACATGATAGACACTTCTTAATTCAGATTAAGCTTCATTATCTTGAAGTAGGATTTCAATCGAATTCTTTCCTGTAAGAAATAGGAAATCCTGAAAAACAAGTATTAAATTGATAAATAATTTCAAAATGAATAAGTGTAATTATTTTGAACCTTTTTGTAATGGCACATTATTTTTACTTAAAATCTCATAATTTAGTAACTTGTTGATATATAGAATTATGTTACTTCTGTAGAGAAATAAACAATAATTAATATAATGAAAGCAAAAAAAAAAAAAAGAAATAGGAAAAGCCAGGATATTTACAATGAGCATGCCATGCTTGGCTCTATCGCTTCTAACTACCACAGTCAACTGGTACTTTTACTTTCACCTTGATAATAAATGATGCACGTGTCATTTTCCTCCTTAAAAGGTGACATTGTGGAATGCAGTTGACACCTGAAGAGCAGACACGAACTTCATTTCCTTTAGAGGAAGTGGTTTTATGCTATGCAGAAAGTCAGCAGCATTCTTCATTTAGCCATTAGGAAATATGAAACAAAAATGAAATGCTATTCCCTAATACAAATGTAGGAGTCCTGGTGGTGTCATAGATATGTGTTGGAGTGTGATCCGCACGGCCAGCAGTTTGAAACCACCAGCAGCTCCTTGGGAGAAAGACTGGGCTTTCTACTTCTGTAAACAGTCTCGGACACCCACAGGGGTTTCGAGTCAGCGTTGACTCAAGGGCAGTGAAAGGGAATACAAATTTAAGCTTGAGTACTTGGTCAAAATAAAGTGGTATGTGTTTTTTATTCTTGTTCGTTTATAAAATATAATAAAAGCACTGCGGTAAATTCAGGACTTCAGTAATATTCTCCTTATCTACCAAACAAACTCACTGCCATCAAGTGGATTCAGACTCATAGCAATCCTATGGGGCAGAGTACAACTGCCCACATGGGTTTCTGAGGCTATAATGCTTTATAGGAACAGAAAGCCTCCTCTTTCTCCTATGGAGCAGTTGATGGTTTTGAACTGCTGGTCTTGCAGTTAGCAGTCCAATGCATAACCCACTATACCACTAGGCCTCAAATATCCTATGTAGCAACACAGCACTGAATAAGTAAAAAAGTTCTACCTGGAAGCACCCTAACTATCAGATGTCCTTTTAAATTGCATATTTCAGATTATTACCATGCCAATGACTTCCTATAGTATATACTGTAAAATAACATACATATGTATATAATGTTTATGTATGGTGAGTACTTAGTCTGAAAATGTAGAGTTGTCTCCCACAAGAAAATCCAAACTGCTCCTTGTTCTTACAAGGTATGTTCCATCTTGTAAAGAATATATTTGATTATTAAATATCATTTGATTCTTAAATATTAGTCGTAATTAACTTAACTTGATCATTAGCTTTATTCTCCCTAAATCTTATTTTTAAATCCCCCTATGGAGATACCTACTGTATTTTTCATCTGAAAAGAAAACCGTACCCAAGTGAATAGTTGCTAGAAGTGATCGCTTTGTAATCTTTGTAGTCTTTGTAGTCTTGGGCTGCTGATCAGATCCACATTTTCGTTTCTGTATCTGAAAGTTCAGAGGAAGGCTGTAGATCTTGGTAGGGTTTCACTTATGTCCTGTCTCCCCCAGCTGCCCCCCAAATGTAGATCTTCTAAACCCTAACCTCTACGCCTGTGGTTATCATCTGATCTGAGAATAGATTGTTATGTTTATGAGGCAGGATTATTGTGGGACATATTTTGAGTCTTTGCTTTGGGAGATATAAAAGGGATTAAACCGGGGAGCAGGAGAGAGATGGGGGAGAGAGATGCTAAGTCCCAGGCAGATCACCCAGGAGCAGATGCTCCAAGTGAGAAGGACCTGTCTCCAAGAGCCAACGGAAGTAGACTCTCCTTGCCTAGACCTGGCACCCTGATTTGGAAATCTGGCCTCCTAACTGTCAGAAACTAAAGTTCAGCTTGTGTAAGCCATCTGTGTAAGGTCTTTCTGTGATAGCAGCCTTAGTTAAGTAAATCGGATGTGTTTAAACTCTGTCTTCAAACGTCCCTTTCTGCACCTAGTGACAGTGTTGCCAGAACTGTATTAGTGATGTGTGCATCAGCAGTGACCTAAAGGCGACTTCCTGTTGAGTCAACTCTGATTCATGGTGATCCTATGTGTGTAGGAGTAGACTGTACTCTACACGGTGGTCAATGACTCATGGTTTTGAGGTAGATGGCAGCCATTTCCTTTTAGGTGCCTCTGGGTGGGATCAAACCTCCAGCCTATTGATTAGTAGCCAATCACTTTAACATCTGCGCTGCTTGTGGTTTCAGTAGTGACTTATCTGGGATGATTTGAGAAGTTCGGATTGGTATCCATTATGTTCATCTATCTGCCCTGTTAGTTTTCTTTTTTTATCCTTGATCTTCCCCAGAGAACAGGAGGTTGAGATGGTCCCTGTTAATCCAAATGCAGAAGCTGAAGCCATTGTTAGGCATCGAGCTCCCACCTGATTAGTTTTCTCAAGAACCTGAAAGAAGGGACACAGAACAGAAAGTTTTGGTTTTTTAAGTGTATTCATTGTGTTTTTAATCTATTAAAATTGTTATCTTTTTAAAAATCATTTTATTGGGGGCTCACACAACTCTTATCACAATCCAGAGCATAAAGTTTTATTGAGGATTGAGTTCCATAATAAAAGTCTCTAAGGAGCAGAAGCACAATGAACTATCCACGTCACCATTTCATTTCAGTTGACCTGACGTTAGCTGCTGACTAAAAGCAGTCAACTGACGCAGGTGGTGTAAGATGAAGAACATTACTTACTGTCATCAAGCCCATCTTAACTCACAGAGACCCTACGTAGGTTTCTGAGGTGGTCAATCCTCAGGAGAACGGACAGGCTCATCCTTTTCCCACAGAAAGCCGACGGGTTTGAACTGCTAGCTTGTAATTAACAGTCCAACTTCTTAACCAGAGTGTCAGCGACCCCAAGCCCCCTCAAACCCACTGTCATCAAGTTGACTCCCATGCAGAGTGGTGGCTGTAGGGGTTCTGAGACAGTGTGTACGTCTGTGTTTACAGGAGCAGACAGCTTCATCTTTCTCCCACGGAGCCGCTCATGGGTTCACACCGATGCCCTAGCAGTTAGCACCTCAACACCTTCCCCACAATGCTACCAGAGAGCCTTAGAAGCAACTATCACTTCTCTGTACGCTTGAAATCTGTACATTGTGCTATATGAAATTGTACCTCCATTTGAAAAGCATAAAGATGAAAGCACATTAGAATTAGGAGATCCACTCAAGTTTTCATGTCAATGCGACCTGTGACTTCCACCCTAGTCTTAACGTGTGGCCTCCTAACCCTATTTGTATCATGTGGTAAAGTGTATTAATGATATCTTTAAACCACGTATGATTTGGGGTTCTCTTGGTGTTTTAAGCAGAAATTCGCCCCTACCCTGGAACATGGTGATTGATTAACATTTTGCCCTGCATGTCTAAATCTCTGAAGGATAAGCTGATAAACATTTCCACTCATAGTAAATTTGACATGGTGAGAGGTTGAGAATGGACAGAGCACATTTTAAAATGTAAACGCAATGTTTTCCCTGTATGGAGTAATGAGATTAAGTGCACTTTTTGGTGGAAAATTAGAGCCTACTAGAACTCAGTGTCCTAGGAGAGCTAATAGATGTTTATTAACATTAACAATGTTGCTTCCTAATTTCCAGCTTGCTATCCAGATTTCCAAAGATGCTCTACCAGGCAGAGTGCCATTATGGGTTATCCTGTTGAGTGCATTTGCTGGATTATTACTGCTAATGCTGCTCATATTAGCCCTGTGGAAGGTAAGCACCAATGTTCCTTTGACTTTCTATTGCAATCAATAACAAATTGAAGTAAATTATGATGCACCCATGCTGTGGGATACAACATTGTATTGCTACCCTAATTGAAATAGAAATGATGACCAGAATGACACAAGATATAATGACAAGAATGCAAAGGAAAGAAAAAAATATATACTTCAAGCATCCCTTTTTGTAGAAAGAAAAGAAAACAATGCATGTATATGAGGGACTTCATGTATGACAAAAGGTTAGGAGTAGAGAGCACTTCTGCGTGTCTGTAATGTGTGAAATTTTTCTATAATTGTGTGTTACTTTCATAAGTAGAAAAGTATGAACAATATATCTTGGAGACAAAGAAAATAATGGATGCCTATGTGAATGGATGGGCATATGATCAGTTGATTTATGGTTAAAATAAGTTTTGCCTTAACAACATACCTTTAAAAAACTGAATTTGTGTAGCTTAAAAATTAAATGCGAACAATTATACAAACATATCACCTTGACTGCAATAACTATGCCCTTTGGGAGTAGGGTGCGAAGAGGTTACTAGTTAGTTCATATAAAGAAGAATTTATAATTTGCAAGTCCTATATCAAATCAATTTGTCAAATTAAGTAACTATATATTCTCTGGGGTGAACCTGGGTTTTTATGTGGCTATTTTGCTAGAGGTATGTGAGTTTTTATAACTCTTGACTGAGTCATTTTCAATGTCCACAGAACAGAGATAATCACTTTTTGGATAAATGTAATAGGGAGTAAAAGTTTTTTTTTAACAGATGAATGTCTTCCCAATTAAACATCAAGTTGGCATTTATTCTAGCATATTATCTACATTTTCTGCATTATTTTGGCTGTTGCTTTATTAAATAGCTAACCTATGTTTCAGATGGAGATTGTGGCTCCCTATTTGGGGCATACCTGAGCGACAGGCTTGCCTCTGAATCAAATCATTTAGATAGCAATGTTCCTCCCACAACAGCCTGTCTGTGTCTTCCCTTTCTAACTCTGCTATAGGATTCAACTTCCTGTTTGGGTGGCATTTTCTGAGGAAAAGATGGGAAAACCCTGATTAAGGTTCCGATTAGTGGTATTTAGTGCAGTAGCTAGAATCCACCATTTTGCTGCAGTGAAGTCTCCACACAGGATCCTGGATTCATTCATTGGCCGCCACCGTTTTCTCTGTAATACCTGGCTTTGCCACACTGTGGTGCCCAAGGCTCGTTTTTTTGGCATCAAGTTGTGCTACAGGCCATTTTCAAGCTTCATCTGCGTACCTCTGAGGGAGTGGTCCTGCTTTCCAAAGGGGGTTTTCATTCTAGCACTGAACTTACCTCTATTGCTTTAGCACATTCCCGACAATAGAAGATTGCAGAGTTGATTTTTGGATAGCTCCGCCCGGTAAAGTAGAGGGGCGACGAAAAGAGGGAAAGGCCCACAATGAGGTGGATTGGCAGTGCCTGGGCTCGGGCACAGGAATGATGGTAAGGGTGTCTCAAGACTAGGCGCTGTTTGGCTCTGCTGAGCACAGGTTTTCTGTGGTTGGATCCGACTCCATGGTGGCACTTAAAAAACAAACAGAAACAAAGCCTGACTTCTTACCTTTCTTAGAAACAAACAAATACAACACGTTAGTAATTTTTTTAATGGGGGGGGGGGGGCACTAGTCGGGAAAAAAAGGGGGAGCCCTCTAGTGGCATAGTAAGCATTGAGCTGCTCATCACAAGGTTAAGATTTGAAAACACCAGGGAGAAAGAAGAGGCTTTCTACTTCCATAAGGAGTTACAGCCTCGGGAAGCCCCTGGGGCGATCCTAACACGTCCTAGAGGTCACCATGCGTCAGAAATGACTCAACGGTCTTCAAAGTCAGTCTGATAAAGAACAAATCTACATCTTCCATCCAGGAAGTATGTTGGTACATCATTATGGAGTCTGCCCTCTCCTTCCTAGGCTCCAAACAAGGTTATGAAATCAATGTTTGGACCGACCTGATCAATCGGTGTTTAGTCCAGTTACGTCCACGGGAGAGATAGCCACCTGTACTCAGATTCCAAGGTAGAAGGAAGCAAGGGAGCGACCACGCGGAGCGCTTCCTTGGTTCCGGAACCGTGTTAAGCACTTGGTCAGCCTCGGGAACTGCATTGAGCAATTCCAGTCTATCCTACAGGGCCGCTCTGAGTTAGGAGGGACCTGATGGCCGTGTGTTGGGTTTCTTATGGCGAGTAAAGTTCAGAGCAAGGATCTGGACCCGTGTCATTTTACTTCGGCATTCACTCCATGAACGCTTCCCTTTATGAGGGGCTCCAACAAGTTCATGAAAACATGGAGTTTATATTCCCTCTCGTTTTCATTCACTCTGATCCTAACTACTGTCTTTCCACCTGAGTCCTTCAACCATATTTACACGTACAGATATAACAATAAGGAGAAATTAAATATCTCTTCCAAGACGGACAGCTAATAAATGACTGGATTCAAGCAATGAGCTACCTGTGAATGCCAGTGTAGCCCACGGCTGCAGGTTATGTGAATGAGCTCTTTGCCAGGGACTTATGAGAACTGGGCTTTGTTCAAGAGAGCCAAGGACTCTCTGAACTATACAAAATATTTGATTTTATAATGAAAGTCCCTGGTTAGACTTTCAGCAGGTCAGTTGTACTGAAAAACTTACCCACACACCTGCTCTACAGCTCTGCTGGGCTCTCTCTGAAAGGGGCATTCAGCCTGCGGTAGACAGGTGAATTGTGCTCATCTTTAGGCACCTTCATATACTAATTAGGTTTGAAGCAGACTCCCCAGGCTCTCCCTTCTTTTCCCATTTTTTAAACTCTGCCCCTTTGGAGTTCATGTCACGTCCCTATGCAGAGGCTCAGCTCCACGGAAGGCCAGGCCAGAGACTTCCTTTGGAGCGCTGATCTGCTTTCACAAAGCACAGCCTTTGTAGTTTTCTTCTCAGAAGATCCCCAAACACCAGACCCTTCCCCATTCAATCAGTTGATGCTTTAGGACAGAGTCAAATTTGCCTTGTAAGGTTTCCAGGGCTGAAGACAACGGGTGGGTTCAAACCATGGACCTTTCGGTTATCGCAGCCAAGCTAACATGCTTCCACCAGGGCTCCTCTTCATAAAACACTTGATAGAACTTAAAGCTTAATGAAGGTTTAGTAGCTGAGGGATGAACATGCTTAGTGATTGAGGCTGGAAACCCTGTAGAAAACACATGTTCGAATGGGTAATGAAGCATGTCGGAAACTTGGTACCACTTTATTGCAATATTGAGTGAGAAGCCCCTCTGCCAATGTTACCAGTGTAGCTTCATCCACTTAAGGAATCCTGGGATGCCAGAAAGTTCCTCTCTCCTAATTTAATCCACCATGTCATCAGGAAAGTTTATTTCTCATCAAATATGTCTGTCCAAAGGAAATGGGGAGGGGCAGGAAGGGAATCTCCCAGCCATCATGTCTATGCTGACTCAAAGCAACTCTGTAGGATGGGGCAGAGCTGCTCCTGTGGGTTTCTGAGACTGTAATTCTTTATCGGCGTAGAAGGCCTCCCCGCCCCTCGAAGAGTGTCTGATGTTTTCAAACTTCTGACCTTGTAGTTAGCAGTGCAACACATAACCACTATGCCACAATGGCACCATGAGGCGGGGAATAGCACTTTCCTTTTTAGGGTCCTTTATTAATATGAATTCATTCTTTCAACATGCTTCAATATACACTCCAATCACCCAACTTCCCTTAAGATCTCGATGTTAATAGAGTGGAGTGGGTTGACCAATGTAGATAACAGAAATCCAGTTTTTAAATAGAGCATTTAATATGTGAAGACAAGGAAAGTGGAAAAGAAGCAAAATATTTCGGTGAGGTCGGATCCTGGGTGGGGCAGGAAAGAAAGGAGCCATCTGCATCACCAGGTGGCTGTGGGAAAGTTGTGGCTGATTTATTTTAGGTTCAGGACAGGTAGGCACAAGTTAAAGAGGTCTCGTTGTGAATCTGGGACTTTTCCAGTTAGCTCAGAGAAACCTCTGAGACATGTAGGAGAACTGACATTCTGGGGAAGACAAGCCGATGACGGTTCTCATGTCCATTTGTCCTCTTGGCACCGGAGGACGCCCAAACTTTTTCCTCACCCCCCACCAACTAGAGCTGGCCTGAGGAAAGTCAACCTTTTCGAATCTAAGTCTACGTACCTTTGTCTACCTCTCCTTCTGAGCCTTCAATTGTTAAATCGTTATTATCTTCAATGTAATCTCCTCACGTAATTCACCAGAGTGTAATGACCGAATGATAGGGAGTTACCATACTCTTAAAGGCTTCGATTATGGTCTTTGCTAGAATTATGTAAACCTAGACTCCAGGTGGGAAAAAAATACACAGAATTAAAAGAGAAAAAAACCCACTTCTTTTTTAGTTTCTAATATTTCTTTTTTCTTTCAGATAAAAATATTTGCTAAACTAATTTCAAAACCCCTTCTAACAACACCCCCTCATGGTTTTATTGTTTCATTTTGTGTATAAACCAAACCAAACTCTGCCATTGAGTTGATGCCAACTCATAGCAACCCTGTAGGATGGGGCAGAACTTGCCCCTGGGAGTTTCCAAGACTGTAACTCTGTATTGGGGTGGAAAGCCCTGTCTTTCTCCCTCAGAGTAGCTGGTAATTTCAAACTGCTGACCTTGCAGTTAGCAGCCTAATATATAGCTATTATGTCACCAGGCTCCTTTCATGGGAATGAAATAAATACATGCCCAAAGTCACAAATCATAATAAATTATGACTCACAGTCGCTACTATGTACAGATTTGTAATATATTCAATGATTTCATTTTCATATCCAAATGATACCGAGTCTTTGAATGGGATTCTTTGTGTAAAGTCAATGTAGACATTTGTCCTGGTGCATGTAACATTCAACTGGGCCTCCAGAAATCTCTCCATCACCTGGAGACAGGTGTATAGGCCAGATTCCCTATCGGCTCTAATTTTCTCAAATTATGGCCATTTATTATTTGATGGGAGTTTCTGCCACCTCCTTAAAACAAAATTAAGACAAAATAGAATCAATACCAGCTAACTGCAGTTGCGATAGTTCCCAAAATATTGTACCAGGACACTTAAAATTACTTTAAAATTTTAAAATTACTTAATCTTTTACTTGCAGACCTGGTATAGCTTACAAAGAAGTTAAAAGTAAAATATCCATTCATTAAATGTTATTTTCTTGACCTTCCCTATTACTTAGGCCTATAAAAAAATACCCAGAATTACCAAAATGCTATTGAACTAAATATTACCCAAGTAGATTAGAATTTACTACCAAAATTTATATAATTAACTCTGTTATGCTTTATATTTTCTTAACAGATTGGATTCTTCAAGAGGCCGCTGAAAAAGAAAATGGAAAAATGAAATAATTTACAAGAGACAAAACCAACAATTTTTCAATGATCTCTCCTCAGGTTGCCTCAAATATGTGACAAGAAATATAAACGTGAAAACATAGTCACATTACTTTCTGTAATCCATCAGGGATTAATCACTTGGAAAATAACAGACCAAGCATGATTCAAAAAAGCAATAACATAGAGATATATTTTATAAAATGATGAGCTAATTTTAAAGATTTACTCAGTTTTTTAGCATGTAAGCAAAATTACAATGTTTTCAGAAGATTACTACCTTGTACAAATGTTCATATATCAAATAGCCAATTGAAATATTTTAAAACTGCATTAAAAGAAGATTTTTGTAATTAACATGACAGTATTTGTAAATATCATGAGAGGAATTACCTGAAAAACAACCCTTCCTCAGCTCACATGAGAAACCCTTCCGTGGTCAAATCCTCAAGCAATATGGACTGAGGTTAGAACTAAGACACGGAATACTTTCAGCATCTTTGTGTTGGGTTCTGTACTTGGGATTTCCCCAAGGTATTTAGAAAACAATGACGTTGAGCTGAACTCCTAGCGAGGATGGAAAATCAAGAAAGACTCATTGTTTAAAAACACGTGCACTGAGTGGATTAATTTAAGCTGTTACAGAACACGCTTCCTTTTGATACTGGGCTCTAGAACTGTAAACGCTTTTATATTGAAAACACAATCGACGCCGTTTTTATTTTGCGTGGCTTCACAATAATCTGCCGTGAAAGGCCGCATTGCATGGGGGGTTTGCTGAAATGGTTTCGGAAAGGGAAACGGCTGCGTGGATGGAAGAAAGGTGCCGCTGAGACGCTGACGTCGTTTTTTGCTGAGCAGCTTTTGAACGTGGGCGGGTCCCAGGATGTGACCCAGATAGGAGTCTTCACAGCTCCTTGGTACATGTTCACGGAGATCCCTAAGCTGTGATGGTGTGTTTCTTTTTTTCTAGAAGCTATTTAATTTTCCAAACACATTTCATATTTTTATAAAGAAGTATTCTATTTCAAGACGGAATTTTACCAAGACGTCAGTGTTTTTGAGTATCAATATGTAAATAGAACCCCAGAAGTATGTGCCTATTTGTGCTTGAAGTCATCAATATGCTGCCTTGGATTCTACTGTAGCACAAGCTCTAGGTTCCTCCAGTTTCTTAAGAAAATAGCCAAGAAAGAATGTAATAGCTGTATGCATGAACTACTGCTGTAAAGTTTGCTGATACTTCTGCAACAACGCTGTCTCCCCACCTGATTGACCACCCAAAGCAGAAGCTGCAATGATCCAGAAAATCTTGGTCTCGCAAAACAAGCAAACACCAAAACAGCCACTCCAGGGAGAAAATGGGTATGGTGGGTTGGATTTTTTTAAACACTGATTTCTGCAGAATTCTCTGAGGACTCAGAGCTAGCCCACCTCCTGGCTTTCCGTATCCATACCTAACCTCCAGAGGGTCAAAGTGATGTCCCCGGGTGGCATCAAGGTCATCTGTAATTCAAAGAAAGGCTCAACGTAGTGTCTTCCGGCTGGCCTGCCAGTTGCTCAGAAATGTCCACTTTGGGGGATTTCCTTTATTCCAGCTAGCTCCAAATTCAGAAATTATTCTTTCCATCTGGTCTTTCTTTGCCCAACACAACTCAGGGTCTCTCCCAATCAGTTGTGCACATTGCATAAAAGTAAGTGTTCACTAGGCATCTATGAGAGCTGGTCAAAACACTCACTGAACCAGGGTGTGTTCACTTAGACCAAGTGAACTAAAGACATTGCTAATCCAAAGAGGAAAATAGAAACCAGGGACTTTTCAAATATTTTAGCAAGGAGAGAATTGTTCAGCCCGTACTAATAGTTACTTATAAGCCCGGCACAATTTTTAATATAAATATCTCCTGATTATTAAGGAGACTATTTAAGGGACTAGATATTCTATGTCTCTAATAATTTGCTGAGATTCATACATACATGCGTGGGTTTGGCATGTGTATGTGCACACGCATATGCACAAATGAGATACAAAATAACATCAAATATTGGAGTTGATTAAAAAAGAAAAACACACAAAAGCTACCAACAGGACAGGACAAGTTTGATTTAGCCACTTTTCATATAGTTATAATTTTCATAAATTTATACAGGTTTAACCCACAGCTCTGCAATTATCTGAGAATCATATATGCAGACACTCAGATCAGGAAATAAGTCAACAGATGTCCCAAATCACCTTTGTACAAATATGCTAAAGTGCATTTGAGGACTAAGACATACAGCCAACTCTATCATTTTACTTTCAAATGTGGATTAAGAAAAATGGTGGCCTTAAGACTATTTATGAGCTTACCAACTAAATTGCCTAAGAATTTTGTTTTGCTTTACCATTGCTAGTTTTAAAATAATTACTGTTTTAATTCTAAATGAAGTATGTATATACTCTCTTCATTGACCAACTTAGTATACTATATTGGTAAGTGGCTAACAATCAGCTCGCCAGCAAGAAAAAGAGTCCTTCATGGTATCTTTGCTCATTTCAGTGTCTTTTAAAATACTCGTGTCATCGTTGATCAGGCTACTAAGGTGACTAGCTCACAAAATTTCTGAAAATGTATCAGTCAGGTCTATAGAACCAGGATGAGTTAGCTTTAGCACACCACTGAGCAAGTGGTAGATTAGGTGAATAAATATAGAAATGAATAGACTAATTTATTTATGTACATGGAATATATATACACAAGCACACATGATATAATCATTTCCAGATTATGCTGAAAATGCTGATTGTATCAAACCTAGTAGATACCATACTACATAGTTTCTCATTCTTCAGTTTAAATTTCTCTATTTATTACCTTCCTTTAATATGAGTAAGATGTTATGAGCTTGTAGGAGGAGGAAGAAATTGAAAGCAAAAAATATATATGAAGGCTGACAGTAAAAATTTCAGATTTGCACAGAGTCAAAGGAATGACTTTATTTTCTCAACATTGAGGAAGGTCCAACTTGAACTCCAGCTTTAATAATGCAATATATTAAGCCAGCTTTTTGTGAGCACCAAAATCATCTTTGGGCAACAAAATTTCTAAATAGTAATGGCTGATTTTTTTTTTTAATAGATCACCAGAACTTTCTTCCAAGGTGCCTCTGGTTGGACTTAAATCTCTAATCTGCTACCTTCCAGTTGGAAACTGAGAGTAACTGCACCACGTAGAGATTCTGAAATACATTAAACCGCAAACACCCTCTGCCCTTGACGTGATTCTGACGCACAGCAACTCCTGTATGAGGCTCCTTAAGGGAGCTGATAGCCCCAGGTTTCTTCCGAAGAGCAGCTGGAGGCTATAAACTGCCTGCTTTGCAGTTAGCAACTCAGTACTTACCTGACAGCACCACCAGGGCTCCTATAAAAAGGGTTAAGTGGTGCAGTTTCCCAAAGAAAAGCCATATTGTGGAGCATTACTGGGTAGCTCAAATACCCGAAGTTCAAAAGTAATGTTTTCATTTGAAGAGCAATTCAGTATCTTTTCTCATTTTATTAAAATGTAATCTCAACTTTACAAGTTTCAGTCACAACCTTTCAATATCAACCTGGAGGGCACCTACAGGATATCAGCCTGTCAGCTCTTACGTCCTGTTGTCCTCTCCACCTGGCTCCGAAATAGTCACTTCTTAGTGGACAGGGATGGATCCACCTCAGTGTATTAGGTCCAGTCAGACTCTGATTGCAAGCCCCAGCGGAAATTTCCAGGATCGCTTTGTTTGTTTTCTGGTGGATGCACAGTGAGAAATCTTTTCTTTTGATTTGGAGCTTCCTAAGCAAGGCCATGCTGTGCCCCGTGCCTCTTGCTAGGTGTTGGGTGGTGGTAGGTAACCCTTGTTGGGGAGCTGAACCTCTGAAATCCCTAAATTATCTGGTAAAGTCTGGAAGTCACCCCAATCAACTAGAAACCAAAACGTTTTTTTCTCACTTTTTAAGATTATTTAATGCCAGCATCTTTTAAGTCCAATTGTTCAGTGAAAGAACTAACCTGGAGTTTTGGAAGTTCTACAACAGAATGAGAATGTTTAATGTTTTATTTAGACCTAGTTTGATTTCCCTATAAATAATAAGGACCATATAAGCAGAAGAAATTGTCCAGAGAACACAAAATGTAAACCCAGTGTCCACTTGAACAATCTTTTGTTGATACTCTCTTAGCCTCCACCTTATATTTGAAGAGATGGTAAAAAAAGTGGATGAGAAAAAGTGAATGGGTTGCTTCTCTTCCCCTTAGTAGCCAAATAGCAGGCTGAAACCACATAGAAGCTGTCTTTGTAGCGGATTGTAGCATCATCTCTCCTGTGCCAGGTGATGTCTTCCATCTTCTACCCCATGACATCTTGCACCTTGAGAGAGAAATTGAAAAATAAAAAAGAGGGGTGACAAAGCTGCTTCTCTTTACATACATGGATCCTCATTCCCCAAATAGACTCCATCCACAGTACTAAAACATGTCCTTTGCCCAAGTGAATTGTTGATTAAATTAGAACAAAACAAATATTTCCATATCAGTTGACAAGGTGAACCTCCTGGAGTTTGACATCATATGGACTCAAGTAAACAAGGTCACTGGAAGTGACACCAGCCCAGTCCTTCTTCACACTAGACCAATGTCAAAGATCATGCGGGAGATTCCAGCATTTCATTCAGAGATGCCCCTGTCCTTACTCAGGATGCAACAGCAACTTGACATTTCTGATTAGGAAACATTAGCCTGTCAGGAGACGATCATGTGCTATGTATTACTACTGTGAGATTGTAAAATTATGAATGGACAGTATAAAGAACTGTATCCATTTTATCAAAGAGAAAAATATTGTAAACAATGGCTCTGGCACTGAAAGAACATCTGTCATATTCTCCACAATAAACCTTTCTGCTTGGTGTAACCAAAAAGAAAGTTTGTTGCATTACTTTTTTATTTGTCTTGGGAAAAGCCTCATTACAATCAATAAAATAATGGTTATCTGCTTGTCTGTGAGACTTGTATTAGATAACCTCCTTAGAAGAAAACATTTAGATTACATTCAAGGACAAAATACCATGGTTTTGTTGCCTCTTTTAATTTATTAGTGCCTAAATCAAAACTATTTTTCAAAGAAGTTATCAAGTCTTAGTCAAGGAAGCGAATAAAATTGGAAACAGCTGAGGTGATAAAAATGTTCTGAATGTTGTATCTGTGGGCTCATCCTGCACACTGATTTGAGGTAAAAGGTAATTATTTTATTTTATTGTATTTTGTTTTGGGGGGTATAATTCTCTCTTATGTTCATCAGTATTTTCTGTTTATGTCAAAATAAATGAACATTCTGACTTATGTATTAAATAAAACCTGGCTTTTTCAAAGAAGAATATGACTGCTGTGGTGTTAAGAACATGAACTTTTACCCAAAGTTTATATGACTTCTTTCAAATCTTCAACTCTTTTTTTAGCTTGCAGGCAAGTTTTTCACCTTAATAATCTAAAAGGAAAAAACAGACCGTGAATCTGTCTGTGGCACTTCCTGCACAAAATATAGCAATGTAATTAGTCTTTTGCAAAGTTGAAATGAAACCACAGAATCTATAATGCCATATACTTTCTCATAATGAGATATTTTAATAATAAATTACCGGCTGTAAAATAATAGATTGGGTCACATAGTGGGAGACAAAAACATGGTTAGAAAATATTATTTTTTTATTCAAGCCATACGTTAAAGAAAGAAACTTATTTAACATCATAAGGGCCAAAAGAAAATGCAGAAATAGTCCTGACTAGTTATGATACATATTCAATAATCTTGAAAAACATGTTCACCTTCAAACGGTGCTGTAGTGGGGGCTGGGGGCACAAAAATATGCAAGTAGAGAGAGTGAGACAATTTTTATAGTAGAGGGTATTAAGCTAAGGAGAAGCAATTTGTAACATTTTGTACCTAATTTGTGATAGATCATGTCTTTGATGCCCTAACTTTTCTCATGAGATTAAGTAGTTATATTACCTCTTGTGATTTATTAGTGCCGAGATCAAAACTACTTTTCAAAGAAGTAAGTTATCAAATGTCATGTAAGCCAACCTGGTGCCCTCTCTCCTGCACCAGGACAAGTACTGTATGTGGTAGAGATGCTAATACTCGAGACAGAGTCACTAAAACCTGGGTGGCATGCTTTGGGATTCATTGTTTTGTTAGTCGAGAGCATGCACACAACACATACTTCGCTGGCTCCTTATGACATCTTTGTTTTCTCTAATTATAAAACTGTGGTAACGACAGGCAGAAATAACGCAAAAACTCATCAATCGGAAGCCGTGGGTGATGATTTCCATTTACTTCTTGATAATATTTCTATTATTTGCTTCTTTAAAAATAAGTATTCAATTCTGAGTCAGGAAAAAAGTTTCATCTGAGGAACGATGGACTAAATACATGAAATACATGTGAGAAAATGAAAAATGTAAAAAATAATTGAGAAACACTGTTGTAAATCACCAATAATAAGTTGAAATGCATTTTCTCTGAAGTTTTTTCTAGGCTTATGTGTAATAATGAGGTGTGCTTCAAAAGTCTGTGGCAAAATTCCATTTTTCTTTCAATTCCACTTTTCCTCAAAATTTTTGAAGCCCTGTTGAGATGTAGATGCTAATCATAAGTGCCCTTAAAGTCACACAGAAAGAATATGGTTTGTACTCTGCACTTGTCACAGATTTTTCTTAATTTCTCTCTACTATTAAATGGGTGCTATTTTCCCTCAAATATTTAACATAACTTGAGTTGACAATGAGGAAGAAAATGGCAGTACGTTATGTCAATAAGAATAGAAAAATGTCAAGACACAGTAGTTGATAAAATTAGATAGAAAATGAAGACTAAAGAAGATGGCATAATATTTTCAACCAACTGACAACTTGTCATATATAATATAATGTCAATTTATATAACTGACATATATATAAAATGCCTTTACAATCACAAAAATCTAAGGGGACTTCAAAATATTTTGGAAAAATAGAACTTAAAGATAATAAAATTTTCCTAAAAAATTTTAATCCTACTCAAACACATTTTCTAAGCACACGCTGAACATTTTCATACTGTAGTAATGATATGCTAGGCAATAAAACATATTTTAATATATTTTTAATGACTTCAGTCATCTAGAATTTGTCTTTGGCAAAGTAATTAAATTATGAATCAACCACAGAAAGATATCTAGGAATTCTTCAAATATTTGGATTTTTAAAATAATCCACAGAACAAAAAGAAAATTATAAAAATATTTAGATCTGAGTAAAAATAAAAGTACAGTAAATTAAAATTTATGAAATATAGCTAGAGCAAGAATTACAGAAAAATCCATTGTTTTAAATACCAATATAAGAAAAGAATAAAAGTTTAAATTCAACAACCCCAACTTTAAAAAATTAGGGGAAAAAGAGCTGGTTAAACCTAAACAGCAGAGAGAATAAAGAAAAGAGCAGAAGCCATTAAAATATATATGAAAATATAAATAATTAAAATTAATGATTCCAAAAAATGATTTATTAAAAATATAAAAACAAAATAAACTGACAAATATTTAGCTACTGAGTAAAGACAGAAGATGCAAATTACTAAAACGATAAAAGAAGAGGGTTATAAGATAACATTATAATTAAATTTTTGTCAAGAACTTGGACAACTTAATCAAATGGACATATTTCTACTAAAAGAAACACAAATTATCGATACCAGGAGGGTTGAGGGAGGGTGGAGTTGAAAGGGGGAACAGATTCGAATGATCTACATATAACCTCCTCCCTGGGGGATGGACAACAGAAAAGTGGGTGAAGGGAGTCATCGGACAGTGTAAGATATGACAAAACAATAATTAATAAATTATCAAGTGTTCATGAGGGAGGGGGAAGAGGCGAGAAAGGGGAAAAATGAGCTGATACCAAGGGCTCAAGCAGAAAGCAAATATTTTGAAAATGATGATGGCAACAAATGTACAAATGTCCTTGACACAATGGATGGATGGAAGGATTGTGATAAGAGACACCAATAAAATGATTAAATAAAAATATATATCAAAACTGACTCAAAAGGCAACAAAATCTAAATAGATTCATAGTGAGAAAAGAGAATACATGAGTAATTTACTATCTGCACATAAAGAGAAAACCAGACCAAGAAAGTTTGGTAAATAATATCAATACTTAAGGAGAAAATGACATTATTTCTTTCCAAGCCTTTCAGAAACCGGAGAAAAAGAATGCTTTCTAATGCTAGCAAAAAAAAATCATGAGAAACAAAAAAAAGGCACTTCATAATCACCAAAGGAACAATAGAACAAGAAGACATAACTATAATAAACTTATGTACATCTAATCAAAACCATAGAACTAGGTAACTCAAACTCCTATAGGACTAAAGGGAGACATAGGCAATACAGTAATAATAGTAGGAGACGTCAATACATCACCCTAGAGAGACAAGTTCACAGGAAATAAACTCAATAAAGACACAGAAGAGCTAAACAACACAACTAACTAACTGGAACACCTGGGCATAGGCAGAGAACTCCACCCCAGTAGCACAGGATACATTCTTTTCCAGTGCACATGGAACAGAGCAAGGAGGAGCTGATTTTTCTTGAAAGTACAGCCTGCATGCTCCTGATAAACAAGGATGGCAAGACTTTGTCAGCTTCCAACCTTTAGGCCAACAGTCAAAATAGTTAATGATTGTGCCCCTAGAACTCCTTAGGTCACATTTGGTTTGACAAGGAAAATAATCTTTCAAAAAAAATCAGTTCATTCTTTATGTAATCCATACCACTTTGAATATTTTTTCCCACACTATAATTGAGGGAATACCTTCAAGGGGATGGATTGATACAAGGGCTGCAATATTGGGATCAAGCCTAGGAACAATTATGAGGATTACACAGGGCCAGGCAGTGCTTCATTTTCTATAGATTTACTTGTCCTGGACTTATACCAAAAAAATCATACAATATATAAACAAGAAGCAAACAAAAATAAACCAAAAAAATGACAAAAACAAAACATGGAACAACCTGTATCAAAAAGAAACCAGAAAACATTAAAAACTGAAACTACTTTAAAAGACGTCAAAAGGGAGATAAAAATGATAAGGTGTTATGTTTTAACCTAACTATATCTGTCACAATAAACTTTACAATGTTCTCTCTCTGGTAGTGAGGCTAGTCACATCCTTGGACTATGGTTAGAGGTGATTCACTGTAAATGAATTTAGGGCTTCCACTGTGATCTCTAACCTTCTGTAAATTAGATGTTCAGAATTTAAGTTCTGGTACCTTTCCCGCCTTCAGATTTGGATTTTGTGATTTACAGTCCTTGGATCACATAGACTGGTGTGCTTCAGTGTGGACTTAGTGGATGTCTCACTTAGATGACTGCTAATTCCACGAATGTTGTTTATGGAGCCAAGAAAATGAAATCCTTTACAACTTCGAATTTTCATCCATTATCATTATTGCTTCATTTGTAAGGAATTTTGTTTTGCATTGGCATTTCAAATAATAGCAGGGTCACACATGGTGGACTAATTTCAATGGAGCTTCCCAACTAAGAACTGATAAGACGGGGTTCGAGATTCACTTCTGAGTTAATAGCTACTGAAAACCTTATGAATAGCAGTGTAACAATGATCTAGTAGACATTAGTATATTGATGTGTTAGGAAAGATGTGATCATCTTAAGGGTGTCTCATTCTAAACAGGCTGAGATAGAAGCATGGATAATTCAACTCTGAAATTCATAGAAAGCCAGAAAATATTAATAGACACATGTTCTGGAAAATAATAATAAAGTTCTCCTCCAAAATTAGGAGTAATGTGACAAACATCATTTTGAGAATTTGTGCTTCATAAGGAGAAGGGAAATCATGCAGGTGAGAAATAGTGGAAACTTACAAGATTAATGAGTTGGAATTCTTATCTGGTTGAAAGATGGATGAAATCTAGATCCTCTAGGAAGCGGGTTGCTGCCTAATATGTCCTCTTATGAAAATGCAACAAATCATCTGTTCAAGTTGTAGTGAGGATGATTCAATTTCAAGCTCAGTGTCAGGAATAAGAGTATAAAGTGTGGTTATCCAGGCTGCCAGTCACTAAATAGACATATGCAGGTAAGTCAAATGCTAAGTCCTCCTTTGTTCTTGAAAAACAAGAAATGTCTTGAATTAATAAAAGCAGCAATGAAGAACTGCAGGTTTGGTCTTATCTTCCACTTGTCTCAGCTTAAAACTATTTTTGTTTGTGTAGTATCTTTCTGGCATGATGTCATTTAGATTCCATAACCTCAAGTGGCATTCCAAAGGCAACGATGGGAGTGCCTTCATCTG